AGGAGGAAAAGCATTAGCGGATGCACTTTGCAAGAATATCACGTTGAAAGTGTTAAATCTTGATTCGAATAATCTTGCATAAGATGCAGGAAAAGCACTAGAAGCTGCACTTTGTAAAAACAATACTCTAGAAATTTTGATTATTCAGTATAATCAGTTTTGTTTGACTATAAAATCTCATAATCCAAGTATTCAAATATTTCAATAATATGTAAGTTACATATAATATAAATGTAAGTGTACAGTAAACATAAATCTTGGTGCGATAATAAAAAATTTTAACATCTAATTTGGATTAAGATTTTATATATGAGTACCCAACTCAAACTAACCATACACTTCATTCACTACATTCCGGGTATAATTGCATATCTTGGTTATTGACAAATTACATTGCTGAAACTTAACACGTTTTTTATTTTACCGATGACCGACCGGTTATGACCGGATAACCGATAACCGACCGTGACCGACCGAACCCATCCCTAGCTGAAACATTCGTAGATTAATTCAAATTTAACTTTATCAATGAGATTATTCATTTTTTCGTTAGTTTGTACAGGTGACCCTCGTTAATATCAACCTAAGCCACAAGACATTTTTTATAAATTTTATATACCAAAATTCCCTCATATATATCAACATTAATATGAACTCTCATTAATATCACTATCAACATGATTTAAACCCAATTCAATTAGTATAATATTTTGTCAGAAGCATAACGAGACTCTTCTATTTGGACAAACCTTTCGTCTCTTATCGAGGATGTTTATTGAAATATAATTATGAGTATTCTGTCCCTTCTGCTTTCGTGTATACATGGGTGTCTAAATTATTCCTCTTAATAAAAAATTATTTCGGCATTTAGTCTGTCGAAATTAATTTTATTAGTGGTGAAATTAATTTTCATAGTTGTCGAAATTCTTAATGAAATTATTTGAATTCTTTATGCCAAAATGCATTAGGTAGTATAGCTACTTTGTGGAATTCATAAAAAAACTAGAAATATCGAAATGTTTGTCGAAATTACCTTTTTTAAAAAATAATTTAGACACCCATGTATACTTTCATGCAAATATGTACCAAGCCTTAACGTAGATTTTGAGAGGATCAATAAACTGTACCAATGAACTTTTCTAGTTGTAAACCAATTTTTTAATCCTGAATGTCACCTCACAGGCTATTCGACAGCTTTCTCTTTTTTCTTTTTTCCATTCTATTCCGATGTGTGATATTAACACTATCATTTATAGATAAGTAATTTCTTAGTATTAAATCAAAGTGCAAGACTGATGGGTTTTTTTGCACTGATATTTGAGTGTCGCCAAAAGAAACATACCTATCTAGAAATAGATTATTATTATTTTCATAATACTCAATTTAGATAGGTACGTTTTCTTTTGGCGACACTCATTTCGTAATGCATTACCAAAATTTATATTTTTGAATTTATCATTTTACCAGATTTAAGCATCTAAAATGCTAATTTGCGACGACGTAATAACAGTGTTTAGAGAATTTTGGTCAAAATTGTATTTTTCTGAATTATAATTCTAAATATATGATTTATTCTTTTGCAGTATATGTGTTAGCTCACATTAGCATAATAAAATTTTTGTGCAAATTTGTATGCAATATTATCTACTCTGTAAGTATTTATTTTATTTCTTCTGTTCTTATTCTCTTTGAGTCTATACTCATAAAAATATTACTTTAGGCAAATTACTTATTGATTTAGTTGTTAAACGTAACAACCATTCATTAATTGAACAAGTACATAATTATTGCACTTTTCAAATTATTGTGATCAGCAAGTTCCACGTATCACACCGGGAATCCAATATATAAAATAAATGCGAATACATGATTGGTTAAAAATTGTTTCCAGCCAAAACATGTTATTAACTCTTCATCTGTGTTAGCCTGATTTTATTAAACATAATTTCTGAGTTCAGAATTGTTTGTCTATTGGAAGTCCTTCGCTACGCACTGGATAATAAAAATTGATAAAAAAAAAAAAAAAAAGGTCTTCAGAAAATCAATTTACGTATGCTATAAACCTTATAATAAATCATAAATATTTAAAATTAAAGTGCTTTACTGCAAAATTTTGTTAATACAACTATTTTTGTGTCTTAAGTGAAAAATGATCTCAATTTTATTTTAAATTGATTTATATAAAAAATTTCTTTGAAAAAATCGACAATTTGGCCCTTTTCTCAGCACCCAGCCCATATAATTAAAATATTGATATTACACAAATTTGATCTCATAACATTTCCTTTTTAAATCCTAATAAATAACATGTTTTTCGACAGTGAGTCAATTTCAAAAAACCTTTACAACCTCGTGACTATGATTTTCAAGATCTCAAATTCAGCATTCTTATCACTACTAATGAAATTGACCCTCATATTGAAAGTGATAACCTAACCAAAAATCTTGGATCCTTTTGTGCAACAATCTCAATCATAGAAAGTGACCTCGTGTAGACTGTAAAATTCCCGAAGGAATCGAATGTTTAGATGTTACCGATACGGATAATCACCCAGAGGCTAACCCTATTCTAAAATCCTATTTAAATATAACCCTCTCAAGAAATTATGATAACATCCATAGCAATTTTAGGATTTTATCTTTGAGATGAGGCTTAGGTTATTGGTGGGTTTTGAATTTTCAGAAAACTGACTCCAGAAGACTATATGAAAAAAGAAAAAAAACTACACAAATCAATCAAATCCATTAATAAAAATCAAAGAATCAAATTTTCACAAGAAAGACGATGATGATAATAATAATAACATGACCTTGATCTAATAATAACATTATTTCATAATTCATTCTATCAAGAAAATTTGAAAAGGTTCTTTATCCCTCACAGAAACTCTATATTTCCAGTGATAGTTTTCTTTTTTTCATATATTTACAAAAATTATCAAATATATTCAATATATTTATGTACTATTTATTCCACAGGACGGTGAGAATAATGAATATATCTCCCCAGTGGCATATGTGGGGCGTTTTGCTCCTATACATGTGTCACTGGGAAGATGTTTCAATGATTTCCCCGAAGCGGTGAAATAAATGAGTTATTTATCGTTTCATATGACGAAATAACTGAGACTTATGTTACTAACCATTTTTATCACATTTCTTTGTCTTCTTTACATTTTTAAAATTTTTTCGATAAAAAACCTGGGTGATGACTAATAAGTCCCGGGCAAGAAAAAAAGAAATTAAATTATGATTAATAATACGTAAATCCCGTCATGTGATGGTAAATAATATTAATTACTATCTTTAAATAAAATATAATAATAAAATTTTATTTGTCACTTATACTAAATTTATCAGTTAAATGATTGATAAAAAATTGTTAATTAATACATCTTGTCAATAAATATAACAGATGTAATCTTTAAGATATTTTTAAACTCGTGACAATCATCATTACTCCAAACCAATACATCAATCATCGAAAAATACAAATGGATCCTCTTTAAATGACCTCAACAATAACATCTCGATGCAAATTGAATTTTCTTTGCAGCCGGGCATATCATAGTTTACTTTTAAAGTATCACTCATATGTTTTAAAATTTTTTAACTGTTAACAAATTATTTCAAAATTTAAATTAGTTGAATATAAAAACTCTTCTGTTTACTTCTCACTCTCATCAAAATGAATACAGTATAGCAACTATTTATTAGATATTTGAAATAATCTATTCTAACTCTTCATAATCGTGATGATGTATTGTTGCAGCTAAAACTGGAATGACTGAAGCTGGAAATTAGAGACCTCGATTTGAAAATGTAAACCTTATCAAAATCCACTTACATATTTTTTTATCAGAACTAACTCTAAGTCCTAAGCTAGTTATGAAAAAAAGTCATAAAAATGCACCCCAAAAAATTTTTAAAATTTCCAGCTTCAGCCATAACATTTAGTTTATCCAAGTTAAATTAACCGATAAAGTATAGTAATATTTATTAAATATTCAGAATAACCATTTTCTCTTATTTCCTTTAATTCGTGTTGATTTAATCAGTATATTTTATCGTTAGTTTAATAGGCTATTTGAGCATAAACTTTGAACTTTACTCGTTGCACATGATTGTAATGGTCCTGCTTGGCATTGCATGCCGTTGTTACGATCGTCCTTAGAAATTTTCGCCACTTGACTTGACGATCGTCAAATCATTAACTATCGTGGCAATAA